ATTCTTATTCGACAACACCACCACTATGAAGGAATTGGTGACAAGTGTGACGAGAATAATTACTGGTGCAGCTAGACCGTAGAGAGGTCGAGCTAGCCATGGAGGTTGACTCTGGAAAAGAGATGAGTAGAAACAACAATTTCTGATCAGAGCACAAAAGACGTGTTTGTGTTTACTAAAGCTTTTTCAAAAGTGATGTTTCAGGAAAGAAGCCTATAGGTTGAAAAAGTGATTTTTGACAGGTTTCATATGAACAAAATGCACGGCCGTGAACAAAGAGATTTTTAACTTTATCTTTTGATAACGTTGATACAGAAAGCTACAGACAGCCCATGTGCGACAAATCTAAACTATTCACTCGACTAACCTATTGATGGTAATTACATTATCATGACTTTTATCACCTCCAGCTTGTGTCCTCTGAGTCTTTAGAAGGACAGCTCCAACTTTCTTACCTTTTTATTAATTCATAAAAGAAACAAAGAAAAAATCCTTATCTATTGTTTAATCCCAACCTAGAAAATCGAATAGTTACAGATCAGCAAATAAAGTTGGGGATAGAGAGCATTTCTCTCTTTAAAAAGTCGATAATCTACATTGTCAAGCATTTGAGAAGTGATAACTTTGGACGCTTACCTGTGATATGTTAACGATGTGAACGAGTCGCGTTGAAGCACTTTGTGGTAGGTCTTCTCCTTCCCAAAATGTTCCCCATCCAAGCAGATTGAACAGATCCAACATAGGGATATCTTGAAACTAGATAGTTAGGAGATCTTTAGATCTGATGCAATTACGTAGATAACGAAAGCGGCAGAATTACAAATTTAGTAGATATAAAGTTGAGGAAAAAGAGAGCAAAGAATTCTGAGTTCTTCTCGAGAGGACGCAAGCTGTGAGAAACATCTCTCTAATCTGACACCCACACTAAAATTAACGCACGAACACGCTGCATTAACTTCGTTAGAAGTGCACGGTTCCCAGCTGTATTAAATGTACTATGCATTCCATTTAGGACTAAAAATAACCATTCCTTTTAGTCTTATGAGCTGATATGGAGAGTAAATAACAAACAGATGTAGTGATATTAACGTACACCAATTGTAATGAGTAGCGATATACAGACGTATGGAGCACCAATTCGAAATCATCAGAAAAAGAAGTGAACGGGCTTGCAGACACTCAGCCAGATGATTTATTTGATATTAAATTTAAACGTCTAATTCTACCTCTTAGAATGATCGAGATAAAATGCGAACCTAAAGGTTGAAAAGGAAGATAGTAGTATGATTTTGGGAGATTCTGTAAAAAAATCACAATTTATGATGATCTTTCAGAGCTTTTTTGTTTCTCAAAGTCCTCAAGCATAAGCTAAAGCCTAGAGCGCTTTATAAATAAGAGTTAAAAACGATATATATATATATATATATTTAAAATGGAAACTACTGATGGGTCAAATCATCACGATTTGATTTTGCCGAATAACTAATGTATTGCTTCAAGCTTTAAAGAAAAGAGTGAAGTGTGAAGATAGAAAATTTTTCTGAGATGAGGTG